GGTGCCGCGGTGCAGACAGGACGGGGGTGTGTGGGTCCCACGGTGCAGGCAGGATGGGGCTGTGCTCCCCCCTGTATTCAGGGCTTGATTTCTACTTTGAGCAACCGGCGCGGTTTGCAGTGCGATGGCCACGGCCGTTTCATGAGCATGCTCCCTCCTCTGCCGGGTTTCCGCAGGGGGCGGGCGGGCGGGCGGCCTTGTCATGCTGCCTCTCCTCTCTCCCAGCAGGTTTGGCACATGGAGGAATCCGGAATCTCAGCTTCAAGAAGAGTGCACATGACTTTGTATGGAGCTTTTCCTGATAGTCCACTACACTCATTGTATAACCTTACACCTTGATTGAATGCCTTTGGTCACTAAGCTTTGCGTCTGACTCTTCCTCCTTGTATCGTGTTTTTATGTCTTTTTAAACTATACGCCATAAACCTCAACTCTTTTTGGGTCAAGTTCTTAATCTTATTTTTGTTCCAGGTGTAGACTGCGTTTTACCAGTAGCACGCAGATGGGCTGACCTTAGATAGGAGTTGTTTGAACAAAAGGAAACCTGTTAGTTACTCGTTTTGGTGCAGATCTCCACGGTGTTTTCAAACCAGAAATTGCTGCTGCTGCAAAAGCCATAGCAGAGTGAGGCTGTCGAGGCTGAATGGATGCGGAGAGCAAAGTAGCGCTAGGATTGTGTGTAGGTACCCTGCCTGGAACCGGGGCGGCGAGGCAGCGGCGTGTCCTTTCCCTGCTCCCCGGGGAGGGCGCAGCCTCGCTGCGGGCACCGTGGGTTTGCTCCCGGGAAGGGGGGGCTGCTCGGCCCCTGCTTCCCTCTGCCATCTCACGGTGGACCTTCCTTCCCCCCCCCAGCCCGCTTTTGGATTTAGGGAGCTGGGTTTCCATCAGAGCTCCACCACACCCTGAAAATTCAGTAGCTTACATTGAGCTTTCTTTAAAGAAAAAGGAAAACAGCAGGCAAACGGAAGGTGCTGTCCACAGGGGGGGTGGCGGGGCCGGTGGGGAGTCAGCTCAAAGAGAACGCCCCCGTCCCCGCTCTCCCCCCCTGGGAAGGAGGCATCAGACCCCGGCTGTCCCCGGTCTGAGCACACCTGACCGTTCTCTCCTGACACCTGATGCTGGTCATCGCCGCTTCTCTGGTCTCATAGGATGCATAGCTTCCCCCGCTGCTGTCCTATCTGCCCCCTCCCTCCGCCCTGCCTAGTGATTTGGTAAGAGAAATTGCCGCCGTTCACTTCCTTCTCCACCGCATAAAGGTATCAAGTTTTATTATTGCAATAAAAACGCTTTATGCTGGCTTTTCTCAGCCCTGTGTCTTGGAGGTTTTTCCCTCACCTGTCTGTTGCTCAGCACAGCGGGTGCCGTGCCGGGCTCTCAGGCTGCTGTGGGTGCCGTGCCGGGCTCTCGGGCTGCTGTGGGTGCCGTGCTGGGCTCACAGGGTGCTGTGGGTGCTGTGCCAGGGTGCCGTGCCAGGCTCATGGGCTGCTGTGGGTGCTGTGCCGGGCTCACAGGGTGCTGTGGGTGCCATGCCAGGGTGCCGCGTTGGGCACGGGCTGCTGTGGGTGCCGTGCCAGGCTCACGGGCTGCTGTGGGTGCCGTGCCAGGCTGGCAGGGTGCTGTGGCAGCAGGAGGGGCTGGCCTCTGGCTGTGCTGCCTTGCTTTGGGGTGAGGCTCAGGTGCTTGGCCTTGGCCCTGGGAGCGCAGAGGGACGCCTGGGGCTCGCTGGGCTCTGTGGGAAGGTGACGGTGGCCTACTGGAATTTGCATAATTAATTGCCTTACCATAACCTATTAAGCGTTGCCGTCACAGCATCTCACCGTTGTGCCTGCGACTCAGTCTGGACTGGGAGCATGAAGGGCACGCAGGTGTGTGCTCCCGGGGTCCCGCCAGCTCTGGGGCCATGTCGATACCTCTCTGTATTTATTTTGGTCCTCTTCGGAGGCCGGACACAGCACATCCAGCAGCCCCTATTTGCAGGCCAGATCACCGTGGACCTGAAAAGCCTCTTGGGGTTTTTTTCGGTGCCTTTCTTAGTGATCCCCCACCGCGCCGGTGGGGCTCCCTGAGCCCCTGCTTCTGGTCTTTGCTGCTGCAGCTTGGACGTTGGACGGTGTAGGCGCTGCTCGGGCACCGCTCTGAGCCGGCACCGCTGTGTGCCAGCACCAGACTCCTCTGCAATCGGCCTTTGCTCTGTTTGCCGCGATCGATAACGTGGCTGTGATCGATAACGTGTCGAGTCCCGGCTCCTGAGTGGGTTTGTTGGGAGCAAAGTTTGCATTTAATGGGGGGTCTGGGGAGGCTGGGGAAGGCGCTGAAGGGAGCAGCAGCAGCTCTGGGGCTCCGGGCTGGGCCCCCCAGCACCCCCTTTGGGAACAGGGTTGTGCGGGATCAGCGCCACGCTGTGCAGATAGGAGCACTGCCCTTAATTGCTACTCAATTAAGCAGAGCGGGGAGCTGCTGGGGCGCCAGCATCGCGCTCTGCCCTTTGCTGCAACCGCTTCTAGGCGGAAACTCAAGGCGAGCTTGGGTTTCTCTTCCTGCAAAGCTTTTTGCTTTAATTATTAACCGGTGCCAGGCAGTGCCGCGGCTTCTGGCTGGAGCCAAGTCCGGGCCGGTGGGAGGGTGCAGGGAGTGCGGCGCCCCTGGGGCCAGCGGCTGCCCCCCGCCCTGGGCACGCAGGGCCCCACTGCGGCTCCCGCAGCACCCACACGTGCAGACGGGGTGCGGGTCCTTCCAGCTGCGGTTCGGCGGGGATGAGGGTTTCGGGGCAGGCACAGCCCCCCTGGGAACCATCCTCCTCTGGCTGCTGTAGGACGTCTCCTCCTGCCCCGGCTCCTGGCCGTGTTTATTAGCAGGGGAGCTGCTCTTGTCCCGGGCTGGCCGAGGCAGCCGGGCACCGTCGGGCTAAAAATAACACCAGTAAATAAAATGCTTCCTCCTGGCCTGGCAGGCAGGAGTGGAGGCGCAGGGAGCTGGGACGTGCCCGGCTGCTGCTCCGCGGCGGGGCTGGCCCGGTGCCGGCGAGGTCCTGGGCTGGTGCCACCGGCTCCGGGCCCAGTTGGGTGCCAGCAGGACCCTGCTGCCCGGCTGCTGGGGACACGGTGGCCCATGGCATCCCCGGTGCTGGCAGCGGGACGGCACAGGTGGGTGCTGGAAGGCTGGATCCCTGGGTGACGCGGTGATGTCCCATGGCAGCGGGACGCCCAGGTCCGCCCCGTGCCCTGACTCAGGCGATCTCTGCGCTCGCTCAGGTTTTCCACCTGTGGCGCGGGACTCCCACGGGGCCGTCACGCCTGGCGCGTGCCCCGGGGCCACCGGTGACGGTGGGAAGGGTGCGGGACGTGGTGTCCCGGTCACGGCTGCGTCAGCCCCACGCGCCTGGGCAGCGAGGCGTCAGCAGGAGCCAGCCGCCCACACGGGGCTGCTCACGGCAGGGCACCCCGCTTCACCCCCCGGCAGCACCCTCGGTCCCCGGTCTGGGATACCGGTGGCCCAGGCTGCCGTGGTGGCTGGGGGGGGAGCGGAGCCCCATCCCTGCTCCCCCAGGATGCCCAAACCTACAGAAAGCCACCCCAATCCCTGTCCCCATCCCCGTCCCTGCAGTGCCAGGGCCCTGTGCAACTTTGGCTTCACCTTCCTCTTCCTCACCTGTGCCCTACCTGCGGGGGTGGCAGTCAGCTGAGGCTGCCTGGCCCCTCCCTGGGCCGGGCACGGCTATAAACGCCCGGGGCCGGGCAGAGGGCTCGCAGGAGCCGGGAGCTGTTGGCAGGTGAGTCCGGGGGAGCTGGGGGTCTCACCCAGGCAGGGATGCCGCTGCCGGGCGGGGGGATGCTGCGGTCCCCGGGCTGCGTGCAGGACCCTGCCCGGTTCCCATGGGGCTCGGAGCTGGGTCTGGATTTGGCCCCTATGCGCTGAGGTTTGAGCGATGCGTTTTGGGGCACAGGGTGCTGCAGGGCAGGGCGGCACGGCTTTGCCGTGGGCACAACACGGGGTGCATTGGGGGACGGAGGGGACTGATGGGGTTTAAAGGCAGTGAGGAGCGATCAGACGGGCTCTTCCCATGGGACATCCACTCCCATAGAATCACGGAATGCTTTGGGATGGAAGGGACCTTTAAAGGGCACCCAGTCCATCCCCCTGCTGTGGGCAGGGACATCTACAACCGGATCAGCTTGCTCAGAGCCCCGTCCAGCCTGGCCTTGGATGTTTCCAGGGATGGGGCAGCTCCCACCTCTCTGGGTAACCCGTGCCAGCGTTTCTCCCCTGGCTGGGCGATGCTGGAATGGCCCCACCGGGAGGGCGGGCGGGCACGGGGAGCAGGACCTGCCACCAGCCAAGCAATGCCTGCGGTGCCCGTGCCCAGCACGCAGCTGTCCCTGTCCCAGCTGCCGGGAAGTGGCGGAGGCGGTGGCCCCGGTGACACAGCCCTGAGTCACGCCGGAGGCCCCGGGTGACAGCCCATCTCCGGCACACGGAGCCGGGCACGCGAGCCAGGAGGGACGCTGGGGGAGAGGCGCCCCGTCCCTGAACCGCCCTGTCCGCGTCCCCAGGCACGGCCGCGGCAGCAGCGATGGCAACGCTCTACCCCTCCCTGGAGGACATGAAGGGCCACCAGATCTTGCAGGTCAGTGCCAGCACAGCAGCGTTATGGGGGGGTGAGCAGACCCCAATGGGTCCCTGTGGGGTCCCTCCCGCGGAGGGTCCCCAGGGCTGGGGGGCATGGCCTCGAGCAAACCCCGTCCCTTGGCAGGCGCAGGCAGCTGCCGGGGTGAGGACCCCCGCCACGACGGTGGTCACGGAGAAGCCGAAGCTCGTCTCGGGCACTGGTAACGCAGGTTGCGATCAGCTCTCCCTGTGGAGGGGGTGGCCGGGGACAGGGGAGCGATGCTCACTGTGGTGAGGGGCTCAGCTGAGACCCCCCAGCTCAGTGCATGGGTAGGGGATGGGATTTGGGGGTTTCTTTCCCCTGGCCCATCCCCTGCCGTGTCCTTTGTGCCGGTTGCTGGCCCATGGTCCCAAGGGGCTCCCAGGGGGAGGCAATGGCCGTGAGTGGGGGACCCCGGAGCTGAGGCCGCCCTCGGTGTGTCCCGCAGCGCCACCCATGCTGTACCCCAACCTGGCTGAGCTGGAGAACTACATGGGGCTCGCGCTCTCCAGCGAAGAGATCCAGAAGAGCCTGCTCCCGGAAGGCAGCACCGTAGGTGTCTGGGCTGGCAGCTCTCACCTGCCCTGCGCAGGACTCCCCCTGTGCCGCAGCATCGCTGCTGGGGATGGGGTCCCTCCGGGGCCGCATCCTGCCCGGGAAAGGGATGCAGCATCCCCCCGAGTGCTGATGTGCGCAGGGCCCCATGGCCCCACTGGCCCCGCTGACCCCCGGCTCCACCGCAGGCGCTGACGCCCGCCGGGCCGGCCCCGGGCCAGCTGGTCGCCCCCCTGAGCGGGAACAACGCGGGGCTGCGCCGGGCAGAGATCAAGCCGGGTGTGCGGGAGATCCACCTCTGCAAGGACGAGCGCGGCAAGACGGGGCTGCAGCTGAAAAACGTTGACCAGGTGAGGAGGCTGGGCTGGCACGGGGCCCTGCGCGGCACGGTGCAGCATGGCATGGCACGGCACGGCGTGGGTCACCGTGGCGTGGCAGGGCACGGTGCAGCATGCCATGACGTTGCATGGCAGGGCAGGGCACAGCGTGGCACAAGTATGACAGTAACGCGCAGGGTGACATGGCACGGTGCAGCATGGCATGGCAACGCGTGGCATTAAATGGCACGGCATGCCACAGTGCAGCACAGCAGGGTACAGCATGCCATGGTGCAGCATGGCACAGCGTGGCATGGTATAGCATGGCACACAGCACGGCACGGCTGCCCGGTCCCCGTGCCATTGCTCCCCCCGTGTCCCCAGGGCATCTTCGTGCAGCTGGTGAAGGCCAACTCGCCGGCGGCGCTGGTGGGGCTGCGCTTTGGTGACCAGATCCTGCAGATCGACGGCAAGAACTGCACGGGCTGGAGCAGCGACAAGGCGCAGCGGGCGCTGAAGAAGGCGTCCCCGGAGAAAATCGTCATGGTGGTGCGGGACAGGTGAGCAGGCGGGAGGGCAGGCGATGCCGGCGGCGGTGCCGGCGCTGACCGTGCTCTCCCCATAGGCCTTTCCAGCGCACCGTCACCGTGCACAAGGACAGCACCGGCCACGTCGGCATCGTGGTCAAGAAGGGGAAAATTGTGTCGCTGGCCAAGGACAGCTCTGCCGCCCGCAACGGCCTCCTCACCCACCACTACATCTGCGAGGTGAATGGCCAGAACGTCATTGGCATGAAGGTAGGGGCTGCGCACAACCGGCGGTGCAAAACGCGCCCGAGGGTGCCCAGGATCCGGCCAGGGGATCCGTACGGATCTGCCACGGGACAGAGGGCAGAGCTGGGCACCCAGGGGACCCACCCGCTCTCTCCTGCAGGACAAGCAGCTCACAGAGGTGCTGGCAGGGGCCGGGAACGTGGTCACGCTGACCATCATCCCCGCTGTGATCTACGAGCACATGGTCAAACGGTGAGGCTGTGGGGCCGCGGCGCCCACCCCCACCCCGCTGCGGCCCCACGGGGCCCCCAGGCTCCCCCGCTGAGCACCCGTCCCTGTGCCCAGGCTCTCGGCAGGGCTGGTGAAGTCGGCCATGGACCACTCCATCCCCGACGTCTGACGCGATCGCCGCCATCCCAGGGGGCCGACGCCGGCGCGGGCAGCCCCCACGGCCAAGCCTGCGCACGCTCCTGGAAGCTTGGAGGGGCCACTGAAGGCCCCGCCGCAGCGTCCCCAAAAGAAGCAGTTTTAGCACAAAACCCCCATCCCTCTGGAGGCTGGTGGCTGAAGGGGGGCACGGGGGGACCGCCAGCCTGCGATGGCCCCC